TCTTCTCCACCTTAATCACATGACTCAATGTCATGTCTCATATGCAATAAGCTCCTTCATCATCACATGTGTGAGCTTTGCAACATCTCCAAACCATTTTTACCTTCACGACATATGTTGCTCACACACATGTACTTGTGGACTAATCACATGTGTATCTCACATAAACACAATTAGTCCACCTAAGGTTGTCACTCAATTATCAAAACCACACAAGGACCTTTCAGTATGCCTAAGTCCTTTACCTGTTGATCCGTAGGGTCGGGGACCGTGGGGTATTTAGGTAGTTTATGTATACGCAAGCGTGGTGCTTGGGTATGGAGAGACAGGTGAATGCATTATCCCTCTCCATGGTTGAGGCGGTAGGCGGTAGGTGATGACAACCCTGTCCGTCCCTTGTAATCTCTCACCCACGTTCGTTTGGGGTGTAGGAGTCTAAATTGTCACATGAGGTTGCTGGAAGACCAGTACTCGGTGGCCTCCTAACCTGCTTCACACTTAGCCCTAAAACTAATTATGTAATTTGTATGAACATTAACTAATCTTTGTATGACTATACTAGACCAATACCTGCTCGACTTAGGATTATTCGTTTATTCTTTCTCTTTATTTTATCCTTTGAGGAATGCCAAGTATGTGTTCGCTATCTTGAAATCGCTATTTTTACCCCTGCTATAAATATTGGTGTACTTGTAAGCATTATTATTCAAGTTCATATCCATACTAGACTCTTAATCAAATGCATTTCTTTGGGAAAATATAAATAACGATATCCTAAATACTTCCGGGTGAAATACCACAATGATAGCTCCGTGCGCTTGCGGATAAATATCTAAAATAGTTAAGGAACTATCAGGGCTATTACTTAGTGGCATTGCTAATATTAGTGATGATGCTAAGAAATACCAACAAACACTTCTGGCGCCGCTGCTGGGGATATAAACCTAGTAGCTACATTAAGAAGTGCCAACACTCGCCTGTCCCGGCACTTCACAAATTCTCCAGCCACACGCAGGAACGAGTGTGGCCGCGGGTCTAGGCGGACGCAGCCGCCGCCTCCATCGCTGATGCGGATGAGGAACAGGGGCGGCGGTTCCCCTTCGCGTCATGGGGGAGGCTCAGGGAGGGCCAGGGCAGACGGAGGAAGCAGGGGTGGCGGTGGCGAGCGGATCGCTGGATTCGACGGGGCGACGGGCACTTGGCACGAGCAGGCGAGGCGACGAGCATGGCAGCAGACGATTCAACGTGAACCAAAGGGGCATTTTTGTCCAATCATACGCTTGCCACCCGTCGAGCATCGGTGACTCCACCGGGCCCATCGAGCTTGCCAATGCAGCCGTGCCGTTGAGTTACCGCCGCGTCGGCAAGCTAAGGTGACACAGTGTCGCGGAGCTGCCCATTGGGGGCCGCAAAGCCGAGGCGGCGCCGTGCTGCCGGAGGCCCTCACACTCGCGCCGCCGTGGTCCGCTCTGTCAAGCTGCAGTAGAGAGAAGATGGGGCGGCCGGGGCAAGAAGACCTTTCACCCTTGCCTAGCTAGTAATTTTTAGCCCAAAAAGATGCAAATAGGACTGAGCAGGCTGGGCTAAAGTAGGCAGCTAGACATTTTTTTTTAAGGTCAACGACGGGGGTTTATGAAAAAACCCCACATGATATATTAAGTCACTGATGCCACAGCTAGACATTTTAGCCCATCTTTTAAAAGACGAATTTCGTACCATGAGATCTGGCACCTCATGGCCACGTCTCCGGTACCTCCATTGGCCACGTGCCCAAGTCCGATTTTGAACGATCGGGCAACGCAAAAGCCGAGCACGGGCGCACGGCAACCAGTTTCTCCGGCCTTCTAAGCGCGCGCACGCCCGGCCGTGCGGTAGCGTTTGCCTCCCTCGCCGCAGCCCGGTCCGGCCTAACTCCCTCGCAGTGCTGGCCGCTACTGACCCTCTCTCTCGCAGGGGCCTTGGCCACCGCAGACGGACCCCACCGTCGGGCCGGAGGCTCGCTGTCTCTCGAAGGTACCCAGACTTACCCAGGCCCGTAGATGGACCCCCGCCATCGGCCATGGATGCGCGGAGCCTCGCTCTCTCTCGCAGGTGCTCAGATCACCACAGACGGACCCCCGCCATCAGCCATGGACGTCGGAGGCTCGCTCTCTCTCGCAGGTGCCCAGACCACCGCGGATGAACCCCGCCGTCGTCCATGGATGCCCGAGCCTCACAGCTCAAACTCTGGCTCTAGTCGGTGATAGTGGCAGGGGCTCACACCACATGCTGCGCGCAGCTCCACTGATCAACTGTTCGCCTTGTTCGAGATTGAGACTCCATGGTTCGACCTGCGCACGGCTCCACGCGCCGCCGGCAGACCGGAGGAGATGGACTAAGTGGATTCCACCCAGCCACGACCGCGCAGCCAAGCTCATAGCTGGCGAGCGAGCCCCTTGCGTAGCCTGGCTGCCTGGGCGGTCCCTGTTGCTGGCTGCCATCGACCTCAATAACGGGTTGATCCTTCCATGGATGATGCTCTCAATGTGTTCGAACAAATTAATGCAAAATATACATTTTCTTTTTTCTTCTAATTTTTCTTCCAGAATTTGTACAGTCCCATCTCTACCGTTGTACTTGGCATTTTGACATCCGACATCTACATCTGAGCAATTGATGAATGAGGGAAATTATTTGTCGTTTCCTTTTCTCTTCTTTTATCCATTTTAATTTATTCGTAGCCAACCTCAATTTTTCATGCTCTGAACAAAATGCAGGGTGCTGCTTCCTCATATGACCCTCGAGGGAGGATGCTAACAAAGTGGCGAATGCCAACCACAACAAGCACACGCTTCCTGTAGTATGTGACCTTTCTAATCTTGCACTGTCAAGGTGGAATTGTCATAAACTGAACAATATACCGGACTTGCAATTATGAACTATGCTCCTCTATTTGATAAATTCTCAAGTGACTTTTGTGTTTGCCGATGTCAAAATAGTGAAGCCTCCCTATCTTGATCAGGAACAATATCTTGATGCTTATGCAATAAGTAATGTTGCAGGCTGCAAAAGAAGAGGAGGAGGAACAAGAAGAAGAAGGTGCTGCATAATCCATCTTGAATAATTTAGATGGTACCAATCTATCTATCTGAGGGACACTGTGACTTCTCCAATCATGTGATGTTTGGTTAAAGCCTTAAATTAATTCCACCCTTGCAATGGTGCACTGTAATCTCTTTGTAAATTCATCTGTTGATAATATAAAGATGATATAAAATTTGAACACTATATGTGCATTTGTATTAGCGTCTAAGAAGATAAATCTTTGCCCTGTTCGCTTGGCTGATAAGTTATGGCTGAAAGTACTGTTGACTGATTTGTTATGAGAGAAAAATATTATTCGTTAACTGAAAAAGTACGGCTTATAAGCCAAACGAACCGGGCGCTTGCACATGTATCTACAACCAAAAGTTTCCACACGGACAAACAACAGACGGCGCGGCAACGCTGCGCCATGGTTTTCTAGTGGGATCTAAACTGTGGGCGTAAGCTCGGCCAGCCTCATCCCGTTCGACGGTTTGAGGCCTGCTTCGTGCGTTGGTAGTTCGACCAACGTTGGGCCAGTGGGTGGGATGGGGTACGAGGAAGGAACCCCCAGGCACTCACGCGCCCTACCTCCGATCATCGCAAAACCCCTGCTGCCCTCCAGCGGATTTGGAGATCATTATCTAGTTATACGTGGAAGGTCCATCCGTTAGATGTCGGAATCGGACTGTGGTAATGCAGCAACTTGTGATTTTTTTTTATCACCGGTTCCTTAACTTTAGTTTAATTACCTTTGTGAGTCCGTATGTTGTTTCCTTCTATGTCGAGAATCATTTGTGAATCGCAACATCTCGGTCTAACATCTCAAATCAGTATTTGTTTGTTACGTCTCTCAGATCTATAGATATGGAGCTGTTCCTCGTTTCAAAATCTCAAATTATGATTATGATTGCAATGGGGCTTAGTCTATTGCACACTGTTTTCTTCGCAGTCTTTAATTAGTTTCAGACCCTCAGTTGTTATCTACCCATACCACGACCTCCTCTGTACGTTTAATCTCCGCAGCATAGTAACGTCGAAATGTATGTATTCTGTGAGTTAATCCCTCCATTCCAAATTATAAGGTATTTCAAAAATCTTGGGGAGTCAAAACATCTTAAGTTTGATCAAAATTATAGAGCAAATTATAAAGACTTATGACATCAAATATGTATACTATAAAAATATAATTAATGAAGAATCTAATGATACTCAGTTGATATCATAAATTTTATTACCTTATTATATAAATTTGATCAAATTTGAGATGTTTTGACTCTCCAAGATTCTTGAAATGACTTATAATTTAGGATGAAGGGGGTATATGCCATATAGGACCACTGGTGTCATGACGTCTTCCTTCCTTATGGAAGTTAATATGATACTACTTCAAAATGCAATTACTGCTTTTGCGTAATCAGTTTGGTGGCGAGCCTTGCTTGACGAGATCTCTCAGGGAGTGGTTCTTCAACTTCAAGCGGCATCAGCAAGCTTAATTTGTGGCATCACGAACCTACAACACGAATTTAGCTACTCGTACAATGTTGCTGAACTGAAACATTAAACTTAGCTTTTGGTTGTTAGATTCCATAATCTCTAGTGCGGCAAACTTGTTTGACAGTTCCATAACATATTACACATAGCATCATACTTCCATATTTGTGGTGAAAATTCAATGTTTTCCTCATAAAAATACGCTTTATGTTTCAGTTATGCATGCTCCATTGTCTTTGTGGTCATTGAATACCATTTTTTAACCATTTGTGTGTCTTATAGTATATTACTAACTATACGAAACCATAATGTCGTGTCGAGAATATAATTCAAGATCAACCTCATTTCAGATGAGCAAACAATGGTGAAACTTCAAGCCAACTCTGCACTAATGGGACGACGACGACGATGATGCTAATGAAGATGGAGCAACCGTTGAGAACATGGACCCTTCTAGTCCTTTTCTATACCTTGAGAAATTCGATCAGGAAAAGATTAATGAGGTATGTAACTACTACTCTTGAGATCACCACTGCTTTCCGTGTTGCGTAAATGCTGTTGCAAATTGCAATCAATCCCTATCGGAGACGACCTAGGATCGCCAGGATGTTTGATCCATTAATACTGATATTCTCTCCGTCCACAAAAGAATACAACTATATTATCCGTGCCAGTCAACCTAGCTTGACCAAATTTATAGTAAACAATATTAGCATTTAATATCTCTAAATAAATTTATTGCGAAAATATATTCTATAACTAATCTATTGATATTTATTTTGTATCATAAATGTTTATATATTTTTATATAAATTCAGTCAAAATTTAGACTGTTTGACTCGTCGAAAAGCGAGAATTGCATCCTTTTACGGACAGAGGGAGTACTTGACAGCTAGAATTATTAGACGATAGGCATAATCCCGTGTCCATTCATTAAGAAAAAAGAATTACACTTTCTATCACTGAATAAATAGATTCCTAGCTTAAAAATAGTCTATAAATAAACCAATCTCTAGAAGATTGAATGGCCCACCACCACCGGCCTATTTGTTTGCCTCGAAGTCTCCTCCACCTGCTCCCATCTTCCAATCTAGTGTTGAGTTCTCTGTAGTTGGGTATGTGTAGTAAATGTTATAATTAGTGTGTTATTAGATCAATCACCGATCAGTGTACAACTATTTCAATTGATGAAGAGTAGTATGGTCTTTTCCCTGTTATATTAATATGTTATAAACTTGCTAGGAATCTATTTATTTAGGGACAGAGTGTGTATTAGACGAAGATCTAAATAAAATTTTTCAATAAGCATATAATTATTAGCTAATGAAATCGCTAGCAATTAGTTTATTAATCGGTCAATAGGTGCTAATATGCATCACTATCCAATCACCTATTAGAGGGTAGATCCAAACAGCTTTACTAATAATTAGCTCCATATTGATCTAATTACCCATACTGACATACCAGCTCATCTGTAAGATGGGGCAGGCCTGGTGGTTTCCTAAGGTTGGCTGGACCGAGAGGAAAGAGTAACTCGTACCATGAGAGAAGTGAGAAAGAGAGAAGATACGTATAGGAGGGGATGATGTGGGCATGGACACAGGTATGGTGCTTGAGCTCGATGCCGTCGAGGAGAGCTAGATGGTGAAACAGATGATAGGAGGTTGTAAGTTGTTCATCAGAAGGTGAGGCAAGCCTAAAGAGAAGGGAGAGAGAGAAAGAGAGGCAACAAAGAGCAGTGAGGATGAGAGGAGAGGTAAAAAACATAAGAGAAAAAAAGAGAATGTACCCACTTAGATTTTAATCTACATATAAGCATAAGCATACATAACCAACCTAGCGACTAGCATGATGGGATACATAAACAAAGTAATCCTACAAAACCATCCAAGTGTATTATTCTGTGGATTTTTATATGTTAGTCCTTAATTTAGATAATGTAGTAAGTGGTTTGGCGTATTTATTTAATGTTGTGACTAGAATATAGAATATAAAATTATTGAGATGAAAAAAAATATTGAAAGACTATTTTATTTATCAACTGAATTCCGTAAAGCTGATGTGATAATTTTGGAAACAACTTAATAAAAATCCACCACTAAGATTGATCTAATTTGACATTGAGGGAGTAGATTTTTTTTCCATAATCCATAATAAAATCAATCTTAGTGGTGGAAAAAGTGTACATTTAATTTGATTTAGCGCAGAGAATCCGCGATTTCGATATCAACCTTGGGAAGGTCTTGTCTGTTGTCTCCCGGTCCACCCCTTTCAACTTGCTTGCGCTGGTACCTCTCCTTCGCCTTGTCTTCCCCTTCCTTGCACAGACTGCCAGACGGAATCACGCAAGACGCGTGCTTCCATTCCTAGCCCAACCAAAGCGAAGCAAGCCACCGGCCTCAAAAGTCAAAGGGTTCATCTTCTCTACCACTCGTCCTCGCGGGCCTGCTCCTCCTCTTCCATACGGGACTGACTGCGGCGGAGTGGAGATCCGTGCCGACATAGTCCGACTTCTTCGCTCGCTGGTAAGGAAGCCCTACCTTGCTTGGACGTCAAGGACCTGTGAGTTGTGCAGGATAGATAGCATATTTCTTTTGCTATATGGCTCTGAGTAATCGGATCCGTATCTTCCTTGGGTGGATGCTCCGATCTTCCCATCAGTTTGATGTGAAGTGATTCCGTCGCAGCAGGGGAAGAACGTGTGGATTGGAGTTTAATTGGCTGTGAAACTCGTGTTATCTCAAAGCTTTGACTACCCGTAGAAGGCCATCTATTCTTAGGCTGTGCAGTTGGTCCAAATTGAGGTCAACGGACGGCAGGATAGGCAGGCTGGCCGAAGCTTTGCTATTGCTGGCAGTCATGTGAGTGGTGGTTGTGGAAACACGGATCGAACCAAGCTAAATGATTAATCGAATTAATTATAGCATGACAGGATGGTATTAATAAAGCTTAGGGAAACCTCCCTAGCTTGGAGGTGGTTGGAAGAACCAACCACTAACTCGTTAGAGATCAATTAGTTCAGTTCATCGAGGGACTAAACTCTAACGAGGCTAGAGGTTGGTTCTGGAGGTCGGACGGGGATTAAACACCATCATCGTTATTTCTAGTTTCCTAGCATAGTTGCTTCAAGAATTTAAACTTGTTCCGGGTAAGTTGTTATGCAAATCTTTAGCCTTGCTAGACGCCTTTGAATTTCATGAACCCAGCAAAATGGACTGTTGGTTCTCAATTTTTATTGGATAGGGATTTCCCTGGTAGCATGATATCAGTACATCAATAGGCCATCCATAGTTATTTGATTTGATTATTAGAAAAAAATGGTATAATTACATGAAGATTGAGATATTCTTATCCTGCAGCCTTACCGCCTTTCTTTTCGCCCCTTTCTAGTCATGTGAGGTGAAAACTGGAAACTTATGATGTAGTTAGGATTTTCCTTGAACTTTTGCCTTCTCTTGTCTGCGTGAGCTATTAGGACATTGCTTTGTCCTGAGATCAGAAGAATATAACCTATGTGAATAGTGAAACATTGCTTAGGCACAGTCACGGAAAAAAGTCATACCAACAGTGTTACATATATGATAGCGATCAGGAGTGGAACTCCATGGAGTTTATGTTACCCACTGAAATTTAGGCACTGGATTTGGGCATTTTCTACATTTAAATTAGCGCCCATGTTGCATATAGGCTCACTTATTTCACAGTGGAATGCAAGGATGTAACTGCAGTTTAGAAAACTCCGATGATGCCTTGAGTCTATCATCTCCTTCTTTATTGGTACTGCGCTAAGTAAATGCAACGAAAATTTCACTTAAAACCTTTGTTGTTTGTGAAAGATACAGATTCCTGCTACTATTTCCTCAATTCCAATTATTACCTACATAATAAAGTCATGTTGGTTCAAATTATGCTGAGGTATTGATGTATTGTTGCCGAATGTGCTGAGGTAGTAAGTAGTATGGACATCGTTGGTTAATACCTTGCATTTTATTTGTGCAATCTGCAATTCAGCAATTGACCGTGATGCACTTCTACGTAGCTATTTGAAGTTTTAATTTTGTTGACTGGTTGATTTAGCTATTAACCTTAATAGGTGGAGCTAATTTAGGACTACTGCATTTTCTTGTTCCCTTGGAATGGAAGTAGTGAAAAGAGACATGATTCAGCTGGGATCTTTCTCTACGAGAATCAGTTAGTCAGATGCAGCATACCAAGTCCAGGGCTTTCAGCAACCAACTTATTCGCCAAATGATGATTTCCCCATTTCAAAATTGTTCTCTCTGGCCTTCAGGGACCCTGCTACTGCAGAAATATTACTGTCTTGCCTTACTTTTTTCCATGCCTTGTATGCATTATATATGCCCTTTGTAGGAGTAGTTCGTTATGTTGCGAGTCTGAGTTCTGATGGCCTTCAATCAACACTTGAAATGCAGCCTACGATTGATGGCCTCACCTTCACCAACCGAGTTCAGTAAGGAAACAGCTCGTCAGTCTCTGATCGCAATCTCCCAGTCCATTCCGGAGACACCTTCACCCCAGACGGTGAAGACACCAATCTCCAGTGCAGAAAACGGGAAGCTGGGCGATGGGGCGGACAAGTTCAGATCAAAGCTGATGTCCATCACAGACCTGTCCTCTGATGCCCAACCTGCGCAGTGCCCTCCCAAGGATGTTGCTGCTTAATCGTGTGATTCTCTGCTCGACTTGCGGACATAATGTATCAGTGCTTGCTGATGCTCTGGACATTTAGCTGTCGTGCCTGAACGTCCTTGTGTTACTAGTCGTTTTTCTTTGTTAAAAATATTCAGGGAAACAGGTGAAAATATATATTGTACAAGTTTCCTGACTGTTGATAAGGAACAAGTTAATCTGAACATGCTGTCGTGCACTCACGCTCGGAAAACCTCTTTGTTCCCGTGAAGTTTCTGATAGACCTTGTGTTCCATACTTCCATTGCTAAAAGTTTATGCTACCGTCGGAGCTACGAGCCCATTGAGGCCATGAGCTCATCAGAGAAATTCACATGGAAGCCACGTGACCGATTTATTACAATGATAGTATATGTATATGCAATTGAGCCTAGTATAAAGGTTACGAATAACTCGATGGAACAGGCCCAGATCGCGGACCAAACGGACGAGCTACTGGGCAAGACGCGCGTCTCTCGGCAGCTTTGGCCCCTAGTGTTCTGCCGAACGCGAACCATGCCGAACCCCGCCCACACCACGCGGCGCCAGCGGGGGGTGGAGACTACGAAGGTGGCGCTGGCCGCGGCAAGTGACTCGTCCTCGTCTGAGGTGAAGGCGGTCCATCGGCATAAGCAGGTCAGGATCGCCGTCATCCATCCCCAACTCAGAATCCGTAACGTTTCTCTCTCACACTCGTCGCTATTGCGCATTTTCGCTCGGCTCGATCTGACGGGCGGGACCTGCCGTTAACGATCGCCCGTATAGGACTCGAGTCATCTAGGTTCAAATTACTTTGCGTTTGAGAGGATTCGCACCAAAAGGGCCCGAAATTAGGGCGAAGTGTTATTGCTATGTTGCAGCGTGATTGCACAGACGTAATGCAGCAACTACCTATTTTTGGATTGATAAACTGAAAGACTGAGGTTTAACTTAAGATATCATTTTACTTTTTGGAAGAAGTCGGTTTACTTACATGAACCAGGATTTGTATGTGGACACTGATATCGTCCTGATAGTGACTGGATGGGTAGGTTGTAGAAATTACTACTATGGATATTGAAGTCCTCAGGGATTCCAAGGGCTTTCATCTAGTAGGATGGATGCACCATTCGGCGCAGCTCTGTTTCTGATGGCTGTCTATGCAGATACATTGATTCAGTGCGCGCTTGCAAATGCAAATTGACATTCATATGACTTGTGAATTTTATCTGCTTGGATCTTGAGTCTAGAGATAGTGGAAATGTGGAATTTATCCACAATGTAGTGTTTTCCTTCCCTGGGAACAACTAAGTCTTGTTTTGTGTGATTCAAGCACATAAGGGTTTGCATACATAACTTTTGCACCGAGACAGGGATTGAATGAGAATGTACAGTCGAATCATGTTGTGGGATCTACCGATCCTCTGACCTGTAAAATATGCTCCTTTTGTTTTTTTATATGAATTGCAGACTGGCGATTACAGAATAGTGGACAAGAATTCTTGTGAATGTTTGAAATATATCCATATACACTGACCAAATTCTGGAACTTTGCAATTATATGGTTTTAGTGCATTAATTTAGAAGATTCATCATGTCCAGCACTAGGAGTATTTTCAGTATGTCTGGTGCGAATAATTCTTCAAATTGAACTTAGTGTCACTGAAATGAAGGCCAACTTCCTTCTTGCAGGTGGTGCAGAGAGACTGATAGTTGATGTGGCATGACAGCTCAGTAGCTCACTGCCCATAGACATAATACTCATGTTTTCACACCTCACCATGACAGAACTTGGTGCGTTTAGACTGTGTCTGGTAAGGTTCTAAATTCTAGCAACTGCTTTTATTCCAATTACTCTCACGTTACATTATCCTGCAGTCCAATGTACTGTACAGAACTACAACCGCCCTTCAAATAGGTTCACAAGAAGTACTCCATAGTAACCTTGACTGCTAAATAGATTTCAATGTCTTAGAATACTCTCCAAATTCTAAATGCTAATATCTGTATGGATATCTCTGAATCATTCCACACATACACTTCTGTCCTTCCAACTTCTAGTGACAATGGTCAAGTGGCCTTGATTGTACATGGTTGAGCTTGATGTTTTATTCTCCTACTTGGCGGTTCTTACCAGATAAGTTCCTCGCTTTGTGTTATGTATAAAGTTCAGTCTTTGTTCGATCGTGTTTTCTCTTCATGCACTGGTATTAGCTGTTGCTGTGAAGGTTAATTTCCACGCAATTTCTTTTGCAGTTCCATTTGCACAGAAAATTTTCATATCCTCAATCTATTTTTCAGATTGTTAGACAGTTTCAGTTCAGGTAACTGATGCATAAGCATTATGCACCTACGAGTCTGTTACTGTCAGTTTTATCTTGTCTCTAGTAAACCTATGATGAAGTAATTCTCAAGTGTTCTTGACCTCCTGTCTTTTGTAATAAATGCCCAGGTCAATTTCCAGTTACTGTTTATGGTGTTTTCTTGACTCTTGATATTTTCTAGCATTTCCATGTTGTCTGTTCATATCTCCATGTCCTTTAGTTGCGGTATGTGCTACTTTGGCGGTCTTCATTCGACATCATATTAGTGGACCAGGTTTCTGCGCTTAAACCAAAGGTTTTTCCCAACTAACACATATATTTTCTAAAGGCTTCTTTTTTATTTAACCTCAAGTGCTCAATAGGTATTACCTTCATGCATCTTTTCAGATTGTATTTTATTGCCATTTCCTTGATTTGTTGGTTGCAAAGCACACTTCTATTCTTCTGAAGCTATATCGCAAACCCATCAGTATGATGGAGGAAGCCATGACACTGTCTTGTCTATGACAGTGGCACTATATTGCAGCTGTTCCATTCCTAGTTCATATCTGTAGGCATCTGTGATTCATGCTAAAGGTGACAGATTTTTAAATCAAAGCATGGCAGATTTAACTAGTCTGCATTAAAAAAAAAAGATTTAACTCTAGTCAACAGCATGTTCACAGCATCTACATTTGTCGCGGTCTTCATGGTAGAGGAATTGAACCTGCTGTTCTATATCCAGCAGTCTCTGTCGAGCACTTTGATGAACCCCTTGCTTACAACTTACAAGTAATCAGAACGGCCATATTTATTTCTATAGCACAGAGTGACACCATATATAATGATATAATCTAGTCTACTATAAGCCACAGGCAAATCAATCTTGTGGCTTATCAATTAAATAAACCTATGATGCCATGTTCTCTAATGCTATTATTGATTGACCACTTTGCTTCATTCTGTTGTGTGTCCATCTCAGCAGTGATGATCTGCATGAAGCAACTTTGACAATTGCTGGTAATATTTTGATCATATTCCCTTTTTGTGTCAATTAGAAGTCAAATTTGTTGTCATGAATTATATAATTACCATCTTCTTATCTTTATCTACAGATTGGGTACACAAGGTGGATATGACAAGCGTCTGAAAGTAAGTGTCGATTATCTTGAGGAGCTGAGAAGGTTGGTGGTAATTGAAGGGGTTTCTGACCATGTTACCTTTGTAACATTGTGCTCAACATCTGAAAGGGATGAACTTCCTTCTAACTGCCTCTGTGTCTTGGAGATTCCAAAGATATAGTATTTGACATCTGTTTAGTTTCTCCATGAGTTCAGCTGTGCTACTTCAACTGCATACCTTATAATTGTAAACTTTTGCATTATTCCTTCAGAAGCTATGGCAGCAAAGAAGGCTGTATTGCATGTAATAGTGGTGATTCTGTTGAGACAGTTACAAACAAATTGACAGGGTTTCTATGTGAACCTTCCCCTATTGTATTCTCAAAAGCAATTTCTGCATTGGGAAATGGTCATGATCTAGCTGTTAGGATGGGTAAATAAGCACTGAACCATGTGGTGCAGAAATTCTCCACTAGGATATTTTAGTGATCTATTTGACTGCTACATTCATAACGTCTACCATCAGAGGATTGAATAACATAGAAGTAGATATTGACAGCGTTATATGGGAGACATTTCCAGGTGACAATGCATTTCTAATGTTATTCTTCTACTTGCTTCTGACTTCTCCATACTTATTGAGTTATTGTGATATATATAACCTCACCTGGAACTTGGGCCCTGACAAATCTGGATTAACGTTTTCATTTGTCGGTTCCTTATGTTTATATGTTCTTCTAAATTCTTCAGTCTTGAAATTTTACTCATTTTAATGGCATGACACATCTGGACATATGTATTCTCTTGTGTTGGATAAATTGACATCTCCCCCTCTTTCTCTAGGATCAAATTTCAACTGTGCATACAGTTGGGCCAATTCATTGTGTGCTTGGTGCATCATGTTCTGCACATGTCTGGTTCATAAGGGCTGGGCAAGTGTTGCAAATTCTGTTGCCATAAACCATATCTTTGAGTAAAGGATAAGCCTGTACTGTTGTAATAAATAAAACACTGTGCATTGTGCAGAGAATAGGCTTGATGATCTTTCACAGTTTCACTCTATCATCTTTAGTGTGACCCGTCCAAATTTAGGCAATTAATTTACTTTGTCATGTCATATTTACTTTTGCAAATGGTTAATCTATCACGCAGCTATTGATCCATCCACAACACTTCTTATTTGTTTTGAATAACCCTGTGTGTTCGAGAAAAGATAACAAAGGTTTTCTTTCACTTGATCAGTGTAGCAATATCCTGAAATTTGAGCAAATTTTACTAATCTGTCATAACATATCACTTTACCTTGGCTGCACAGCTGTCTGTTGACAGCAGCTTCCAAAGCCCAACAATCTTCATGGTTCATAATAGGCAATTTTCTCAGCTCATTGAGTGGATCAAACTACAAAAAATTGGTTGATGAACTGGTAAGCAATCAATGAAACTATTTCTCTGTATGTAGATTGCACAGGAGCCTATGATATTGTAGTTACTGAGCACAAAGTGTATTACTTAGGGATAGAACTTTTCATTCACTAGGGTCCATCCTCCAAGTTTCTTCTTTAATTTGTTGCCCCCTGCAGAATCACTCCCAG